GTGACTATGAAGAATGCCGTCTTCTGGGATGTGGCGCCGTGTATATATTGTGTGAACCGACGTTTCGGAGGAACGTATGGCCTCCATCTTTAGGGTATAAAAAATTCCGCGAGCGAGGAACCAGCGTGAGCAGGTGCCTGCAGACTGGAACGCGTGGCCTCCATCTTCGGACTATTGAAAAACCTGGTCATGCTACTTCGTCGCTCGCGGATTTTTAATGCGATGAAGATGGAGGTGATACATTCCTCCGAAACGTCACTTTACCCAATATATACATGGCGCCACATCCCAAAAGACGGAATTCTTCACGGACAACAATGATTCCATAAGTCATACTGTTTCCTTCTTCCCTCTTATGAAAGGAAAGGCGGTGAAAACTGGAACTATATTCCTAATATAGGGAGGCAGGGTTATGGGAAGTTCATGTACGGTGCTGCTGCTGATGTCATGCCGTAGAGCTGTACACATTAAATGCAAATGCCTGTTATAATTGTCAGATTCCTATTCTAACCACGTTTGATATTAACTGATGAGAATTAGAACACTTACAGCGTTCTGAACACTTCTATATGGAATTCCATGTACAGTAAGACAGGATTTTGGACAGTTCGTATATGCTAAAACCCGACATTGTGGGCGGTACGTAAAAGCTCCGTACTAAATGAATGCAAATATATGTTTTAATGCTCAAATTCATATTCAAATCATGTCCGCCATTAAATGACGGGAATTGGTGCATGTAACCCTATAGGGGCACTAGAAATTTTAACACTATTATGTGTTTTTGGTAATTCAATTTGTAGATCATCTTGGAAGACAGAATGACGTGGGAATATAATTACATCAAGATGGATAACCCGTGTTACGAGGGATGGAGGTGGATGGAACTAGTTTAGGGTAAAATTCAGTCGTGTTTCTTTGGTGTCAGAGGTGTTGAACTATGGAGGTTTGCTACCATAGTGTTAGTTCGCGAAGACTTTCGTTAAGGTTTGAAGATTAAGTCTGGGATATCACGTTTATCTGTTTTTAGCTCCTTCAATTTTTGGCTTCACGAAATGATCAAGTAACACGTACATACTACTAATCGCAATGATTACAGAAGTTCCTTAGAACGTGTATGTTGGCCCACAACTTCTTTATGGAGCACTGCAGTGATGGTACAGCAGTGTAGTAAACAATAACGGTTGGTGGATACGAAATTATTAATTAAAATTTCTCCATATTGGTTACTCACTTATGAGCCTGCGCCATATGTGTATATATATATATATACACACACACACACACACGCGCGCGCGCGCGCGCGGTAGAGTCATTAAGTTCGTGGACTGTGGTTTTATCGCATCACATTACAAGGTACTGACATACACTTACACAGATCCACATCGGCCCTCAAAATGGTTGCCGTTGGCCGCTATGCAAGTCTTTCAACGTTGGTATAGCTGTCGAAAACATTGCTGAAAACATAGTGGCAGAAAATTCCCGTAGGGCTTCTCTTGTGGCAATGACGATCTCCTCGGACGACTTAAATCTACGACCACGTAGCTTTGCTTTCAAGCGGTGAAAGCGAACGAAATCGCAGGGTGCAAGATCAGGTGAGTACGGAGGGTATGGCAAAACGGTGACCTGTTGCCTTGCCAGTTCCTCTTGGACAAGAACAGAGCGATGTGCAGGGGCGTTGTCGTGTAGCAACAGCCAATTCTTCCTACGCCAAACGTTTCGTTAGGGGATTTGCCTAGTTTCTGGCAGAACTTGATGTTTGTCCGTTGTTCAAACTGCCACATCTTCGATTTCCGCCACTCGCATTTAACTGCAGTCCACAATAGAGGCCGAAGTTCTACTTAAACTGTTATATACGTATATGAGCGAAAGTCATAAATTATCCGCACTTTCGCCATAACAAATCTTTAGGTTTGTCATACTGTCTTCCGCACATGCATGCTTAGAGTAGGTACTATTATGGTCACGTGATCGAAGTTTGACCTCGATCGCGTCATTTTTCTTGATACTGTGACAGTGTAAACATGGTCGCTCCACTAGCAGTGTGCACCAAGGAGGAACAAAGAACAGTGATCTGATTTCTCTGGTTGGAAGGTGTGTCAGGGGCTGAAATTCATTGTAGGCTTTCAACACAATATGGGGCAGTTCTCTACCGCGTAGAAGTGTGTATGAGTAGATCGAGAAGTTTAAAGGTGGCCGGACAAGCGTGACGCACGAAGAGGGAGCAGAACGCCCGTCAACCTCAACCACTGATGAGAAGATTCAGCAAGCTCGAGAGATTGTACTGACGAACCGGGAGTTACCGTCGATGAGGCAGCGTGTTCTCTGCAGGTTAGCCATGGATCTGCCTATCAAATCATCCACGACGAGCTCGGCTTCCATAAAGTCTGTGCGAGATGGGTGGCAAGAGAACTTGCCGCAGAGCACAAGCGCAAACGTGTTGAGACCTGCCATCGCTTACTCGACAGCTACAACAATGAAGGCAAAGAGTTTTTGAGAAAAATAGACACAGGAAATGAAACGTAGGTCCATCGCTATGAGCCAGAATCCAAAAGCCAGAGATCGCCAACGAAGTAGAAATTCAAGACTCAATCTTCCGCGGGAAAGGTGATGCTAACCGGTTTTTGGGACTCAGAAGGACCTATGCTGGGAGACTACCTGGAGAAAGGGTGTACGATCAAGATACAGTGATTCGTTGGCCAACAATCTGAAGCCAGCAGTTCGCGACAATGCACGCCCACACATGGCCGGCCAGACATTTGCAACCATAAACCAATAGGGTTTCGAGGTGCTGGAACACCCTGCCTACAGCCCAGATCTCGCCCCTTCCGACTGTCATCTCTTTGGACCGCGCAAAGATGCTTTACGAGGTCGTGGATTTTCTACGGACAAAGAAGCGGTGCATAAATGGTTGCGCGATCAACCGAAAACCTTCTTGGAGGGAATACGCAAGCTTGTGGACCGCTGGACCAAGTGCATCGAAAAGGAAGGAGACTATGTAGAAAAATGACGTACTTGTTCAACCCCTACTTTTGTATATATAAATTGGGAAACAGGAGTGCGGATAATTTTTTACTTTATATATATATATAGCCTAACTCGATGCAGTGGAGCCCTTCTTGGGAAGCTGACCGTCACTCATCATTTATAGTCATTGAAGCTACAAGAGTTTAACTGTAAACACGCATTCAGTTTGTCAGCTCGTGTACACAGATGAGGACTTACATACGGTGGACGCGCCATAACTCAAGCGATTAATCGCTGGCTTCCCACTGCGGCGGTCCGGGTTCGATCCCGGGTCTGGTCAAGTGGGTTTTGTGGTGGACAAAGTGGTGCTGGGGCAGGTTTTCTCCGAGTACTTCGGTTTTCCCTGCCAATCTTCATTCCACCAATTGCTCCACAATCACCCTCACCTATCATCTGGGGCTGGTACAATTGACCAGAAGTGGCGGCAGAACAAGGGACTTAGTCCCACCCCACTAGCAATAAGAAATACATACGGTGGAAGCGTTTCCCAGTAGCTGATCTATGATTTTAAAGTTTTAATTGTATTCCTCTAGGATGGGGGACTCTTTGTCAGAATAAGTGACACGAAATGGGAGGTCTTTACGATGTCGTGGATGTTGATCTTTGTTTATTTCGATTTCGTACTGCAGGAGACCGGTTCTGGGGCCCACCCAACCTCCTATCCAATGGGTACCGGGGGCTCGTTCCACGGAGATAAAGCGCCGCAGCGTGAAGCTGACCACTCACCTCCAGCTAGCGCCGAGGTTAAGAAAATGTGGGTCTGTACATCCACTTCCCCATACGCCTACATGGTGTAGTGTTTAATTATTTAAGCACTTTACCTCTACATTACAATGATAAACTTCACTTGAAGAGTGAGTTCGGTGAGGTAGCACGAAGAAGACAATAAACAGAGCTCTGTAACACTCGTCCCTCCAGATGGAGGCGATGTGTTCCTGCGAAACGTAGGTTGACTTCTACCGGATAGCCCGTCCTTCTGTCCTAGTCTCCGCTGTTAGAACATAAACTCCAACATCACATATGCCTCTTTTCTAATTCTTGGATCAGTTCGAAACGCGTTAAACTTACCGTTCTGCAAAGGCATACCTATATGAAATACGGTACTTAAAATACGCAGAAGTTGATTTTTGTCAGTGGAATGCAGGGTGAAGTCCTAATAGAGTATAGAGAAAGCTAATAAACCCTTAAAGTAATGTAGAAACGCTGAAATACTGGTTAAAATCAGTAAGAAATTAAAAACTGCATTCACGAAGAATTCAAGGAAAGGTTAAGTTTGCGGTATGCTTGCTACAATGTAACTCAGAATATTTTAACTTTTCCGTCTTGTATATAGTCACTTAAAGTTAACACCAATAATCAATTAAAATTTTCTATAAGACTGTAAAAACATAAAATAACGCGTTTGTTGTTTTGTATGGGGGTAGGCCTTGATATTTTACTCTTTACTCTTATTAGCCCTATCAACAGTATCATTTTTAGATCCTATACCGTCTGTAACGCAACAGTAACCTTATAAATTAAACTGAAAATATATTTAATACACTAAGTGTTTGTTAAATACCTTAAAATGTCATTAAAATTATACATTCATTCCTTGTTGCAACATGTTTCGGCCACACATGGACCATCATCAGGCAAAATTTTTTGTTATTGGGTAGACTACTGCACTGTACGCTTTGTCTTCTGTGCCGATAGGCACATCGTTGTTTTTGTTGTTAGTTTCTTTAGTAGTATACTCCCTCTGTATACTTTTTGGCGGATATTTCAGTGTCTTTATGTCGTTTACTTTGTTGTGCATGCTCTTAGTGCTGTCTTCCTTATCAGCAGTACGCCTGCGCCTGTAGTAAATGGACGCCAAGTCTCATTTAGTCTGACTCACTAACAATTTAAAGGGCGAGTAAATGATGACTCGAGCAATCGCATTTGGAGCTGTGTGCCCCGGCCTCACGAGCAGTTGCGTTTCGTGTGTCCAGACGGATCGACTGACGTTTCCGCACGGCGCCATGGTGCTGGTACGCTGCCGAGAGCTCGGAGTTTACAAATTGCTGGGGGAGTCCTCGCTTCAGTGCCAGAATGGTGTGTGGACCCACCGACCGCCGGCCTGTATTCCAACTACTATGCTTACCAACTTCACCGGTAAGTAAGGGCGAATTTGGTATGATTTAGTTTCATTCCGAATTTCTCTTAGCATATGATTTATTCGATATTTTTAAGCATCCTTGAAGGTTCTTTCAAGTTGCTGCACTCCCTTTATGATTAACCCAAACTCGAGTGTCACAGGAAAACAAATGGTTTTCTTGAACGAAAAATACATAAAGATCCCAGATAAAGATACAATACGATCCCAGGGCTCGAACGAGGGAAGTCAGCTCATGCCTTAGACCGCGCGGCCACTGTGATCGGCGACTCTTCATGAGCTCAATCAATTTAATTTTAATTTTTAATTCGCTTAGTGGGAGGTGGAGTCCAAATGGGTCCACTAGGCACGGCGGCCACTGATTGGACTATTTTAGCCTGCCCCGGGTGATTGTGATAATGGAGAATTTGGTGGAATGAAGATTGGCAAGGGAAACCGAAGTACTTTGTTCACCATAAATCCTACTTGACCAGACCCGGGATCGAACCCGGGCCACCGCAGTGGGAAGCCAGTGACTAACCGCTTGAGCTATGGCGCGGCCTACGCCCAATCAGTATTCCACTTCTTGACATACGTACACACTGTAACATAGCTCTTGTTGCCTACTCGGCGACGTCTCTTTTTCTTGCTTTCAGATGATTCAGGTCTCCAGTTGTGTCCACAGAGAGTAATTCTTTATGTAGTCCTAAAAGAAGTAATGAATCCATATCAAATCAGGGCTTACAGGTGGCCACAGAATTACTTGAACCTCCCCTGACAATCCACCTTCCAGCAGATGCTGCAGAAGCAACTTGCATCATATGTCTTGAGATACGCGACGGTGCTCCGTCTTGCCGGTGACCCCTGAAACTGTTTCAATGTAGGAGTGTAAAGGCAAAAATTTCTGTGTGACGCCTCTTGTATATTTGCAGACAGAGCCACCCGAAACACCACCATTTTTTTTCGGGCACAGTTTATTTGAATGTTTTGGTTTTAGCAGATGAAAGATTTTTGTGAGTTTTGCTTCTCGTTACGTGCCCTTGTATAATTAGAATAGTCAAGTCAATGAAGATGGGAGGCGCAGGACATGTAGCACGTTTGGAGAGAAAAGGAATACATGAAGGATTTTGGTGGGAAAGCCAGAAAGAAAAAGATCACTAGGAAGACATAGGCGTAGGTTTAATGATATTATTAAAATGGATCTTAGATATATAGAATGGGGTAGTATGAACTGGATTGATATGGCTCAAGATAGGGGCAGTGCAGGGCTCTTGTGAATACGGTGATGAATATTTAGGTTCCATAAAATGTTGGGCAATTGTTGAGCAGCTGTGAGACTGGCGGCTTCTCAAGAAGAACTAAGCTCCATGAAGTTAGTTAGTTAGTAGAATTAAAATGTCGATTCAAAGCTTCCTAGACCACCTTAGGGATAAAGTAAATGTGTGCTGGTTTGCATCTTACATGAAGCTCCGAGTCTGTCCGACTGTTTGACAGTCGCTTGTTTGCTTCCAGAGGACTCTCCCCCAACGGTTCTGATTAAAATACCGTCGGGTTCCGCATCTGTTGAACCGTCCGGGGACCTCGCCGTTTTCCCTGGTTCCATTCTGCATCTCGAGTGCCTCTTCTCTCGGAAGCTGGGCAACCCCGAGTGGACATGGACCTCCACTTTCCGACAGTTTCTCACGGGTAAGCTTCTAACGTAAGCAAAGTGGGCACCTAAGCTGTGCGGTCAATACGATATGTTGCTATGCGACCTCACTTCTTTCTGAGCCGCAGAATTAGTGGCATCATCATAGGCTAGAGAGCTACTGGCCTGTGCTGAAATATACTGGTCCTTATTAGACGTAATTCTGAGACGTTGTTTGCATTAGGTCTATGTTACCATTTCATTTGCTCTAGACTCAAACTTAGACCTTAACAAAATTTTTGAAATAATTGTGCAGTTTTGAAATGCCTTTGTACGTGAAGTATTCCTCATAGGATATCTGAGGTTTTAAAAATGAGGTCAATAAAGAGGTCTATCTTCTAGTTTATAACGCCTCATAGTCCTTTGAAAATCAGTCGACTCTTCGGAAGAACATGTTGCCTCCGTCTTCAGGGTCGAAGGACAAGCCAAAAAGAAACCAATATAAAGCAGGCAGTTGATTTTCAATGGACTACTCGGCATAATATTCCAGAAGATACAATTCTTCATAATCACCGCTGTGAGAAGCTCAAATCCTACAAAGATCAGTAAGTTAAGATTGCAGGTCTCTGACGTATGACGAAATGTAGCTCTGAGCAACCTAACCCCTTGGAACACAAATTAATATACATGCGTTTGTCTCCCACGAGAGATAGGCTCAGAAGTTTATTTAGGCCTTAAGCATTGTAGAATTTAAAATTAATTAACACATCCATGGCAGTACCGTGTAAATAGAAGTTCTGCTTATCAAATTCCGTCAGACTGTGTACAAGAGCTGGGAATATGGAGTTCATTTGGACCCAGAATTCAATTCTCCCTTTATTCAAGTAAAATGAATTAAGCTTTCACATGGCAATACTCGAATATGAGGATTTAAGCTAGTAACTGTACAGCCAGGGTAGCTCAGTCGGTATAGCGATTGGCTACGGACTGGAAGACTGAGGGGTTGGAGTTCGAGTCCCTGTAGAGTCACGAATTTTCTCTTCTCCACGTCGTCCAGACCGGCTGTGGGGTCCACCGAACCTCCTATTCAGTGGGTACCGGGGGTAAAGCGGCTGGGCCGTGAAGCTCACCACTCACCTCCAGCTAGTGCCGAGACCAAGAAAATGTGAATCTATACGTCCACTCCCCCATACGCCTTCATGGCGTAGAGCTTTATACGTTAAGCACAGGGACGACTTTACTTTTTTACTGTTCATTCATATTGTGACGTATTTGCGCTATGCATGACACCCCCTCCCCCGCCAGTTGTGACGTAACAGCATCGGAGCGCTGCCGCTGCTACGGTAACAGGCCAGTGAACACTCTGTCCCCTCCCCGCGGTGACGTAACAGCACTTTCCACTGTGACGTAACAAGGGGACACCGCTGGTAACACGAGGCAACAGGGAGCGGTATAAAAAGCCGGCTGAGCAGTATGTGAAGAGAGTGTGTGATCAGGAGTGACACAGCATGGATCGTGAAGTTGCCGAGTCAGTTGCAGTCTAGCATTCGCCGGAGTGAATGGAAGAAGTAATTGTGATACTGCCGATGGCAGTAATTGGGGAAATTGTGAATTGTATAATTGTGAGAGCGAGTGTTCAATAAATTCGCTACATCCAAGACGGCTTGAAGTTATTTGTCGCGTGACATATACCAAACACGTGACGATATTCTTAAGTAAAGTGGTTGTTAAAATAAGAAAACTAAATAAAAATCGAATGGCTAAACAGAGCTTAATGCGGGCCTGTTTTTGGTGACGAGGAATTTACACAGTTCATAGTTTCCATACTTTTCACCTCGTAACATTAGGGAGGTGAACTGAAGGAGGGTTGTCACATGTGGCATGTACAGTATGATGAGAAATGCATGAACAATGTTAGTAAGACGGTCTTAAGGGCTCACAACACTTGCCTGTCTAAGGTATAGGTAGATGGAGAAGTTTAAAACGAATCTTGGAGAAATAGGATGTGAGGGTGTTGACTACGTTCATGAGACTCGGGGGAGGTTCTAATGCCAGCCGTTTGTGAACAGACTAATATAACAGATATATAAGTTTTGAGGTTTTCACGGCGGTGACTATGAAGAATGCCGTATTCTGGGATGTGGCGCCGTGAAGATCTTCTGTGAACCGACGTTTCGGAGGAACGTATCGCCTCCATCTTTAGGGTAGAAAAATCCGCGAACGAGGAATCAAGGCGCAGACTGCAGCCACCTGCTCACGCTAGTTCCTCGCTCCTGGATTTTTCTACCCTAAAGATGGAGGCGATACGTTCCTCCGAAACGTCGGTTCACATAAAATCTACACGGCGCTACATCCCAGAAGAAGGCTTTCTTCTGGCTAATGATATTTCGGGTTCCACAAAAGTGGCTGAGCGACTATAAGCTTTCCAAGAAAGATCGTGCTCGAAGGAACAAATTAATCCTATTATTTTAGTTAGTTTAATTCAAATTGGTTTCATGGTATGGGGCAGACATGATGAAACTGACGTCGCTGAGCAAGTTAATANATACCGTATTTACGCATGTATAGGCGGCGTGCGTGTATAGGCCGCAGCACAATTTTCAGACAGAAATTATAGAAAAAATAATTTTCTTGGAATATTATTTCAGGAGTAGAAATTATTCCGAAATTTGGCAACATAATTTTTTTTTAAATGAAGTGTGATTTCGAATATTTCGAATATAAGCCGCACCCCAGTTTTCCTCTTGAATTTTTGGCAAAAAATGTGCGGCCTATACATGCGTAAATACGGTATATAGGTGCAAAGCGTCGTTAAATAAACCATAATTCATAATTTACTGCTGTTTTTCAAAATTGCTCTAACTGCCTCCAAAAATTTACGTATATTGCAAGAAAGAGAACTGTATTGTCATTAAGCGGCTGGGTTCGAATGCCTATTTGAACGGTTAGCCGCCTGGGTCGAATGTCGATCCATTTTTGGGATTCAGCGGCGAGAATTTTACCTCACAACGTCTCATCATTATCTATACCTAACGAACGTGCAAGCCGCTTCTTCCTACAGCGCGCCATCTGGAGTTTAGCTCTGCCAATATCTCAGCAGCGCCCCTCCCAGCATGACATTTCGTGAACCAGTGAAATTGTAGACTCGCAGGTTCGGATTATGTCTAATTAGAATTTTCACTTTTGTTTTGGATGAAGAGAACGAAGCTTTTAATTCCGTTCGAGACGCATAGCTCGATTGCTCTTTGCTATCTCCGCAGGTAAAAGTAAGAAGTAAGGCTAAAGTTGCCCCTTTGCACGAAGCCATGAAGACGTACGGGAGAGAGGGACATCTCCAGCATTCTTGGCCACAATCTGTTTGAAAACTCCGGGACATTTTCCCTGTTGGGATTTAGTCACTAAAGAAGAATTTATGGCATTTACGCACTATGAAAGCTTCAGATTTTCTGTAAGAAATTGCTACATGAATCAATGTTACGACGAAACTAACAGTTTATAAAAGTATCCATTTACACTTAGCTACATAAAGCGGGAAATAAGTTCTGTGCATTTTGAAGATGTAATAATCGACAGAGCTTCTGCTTGTACAAATAACTTTGTTGAAATAGTAAGTGTACTTCAAAGGAAGGTCGAAAGACGCTTGTTTCAAATATACTTGCTTCTTGTTAAACTTATTCGCAGTTAATACTCGTTGCACCGAGAGGAACAGAAATCCGAAAAGTCATATCTTTGAAACAGAATCTACATAGAAGTCTGCTTTAGGTTTGAAACTATTGATCTAAATTAAAGATTTAACTTCCCTGTTCACTGTATAAGAACAAGGAAATTTATATGAGCCATTTAACTTCCTTTTTTTTTTACCTGCTTTCTCTCTTCTTCTCTGCGGAACTTCTTGATCTCAACTGCATAGAAATCTCCAGACTCTGAAGTCACTGTAACTTGAGATCCCGAACCTATGTACACTCATTATAAGAATTTGAAAGAGAAGGCAAAATATTTCTGTTAACAGCATTCGTTACTTAAATGGAATCCATAATTTCAGTCCGCTATCATATTTTGCGTAAAAATAAGCCGAGTTCACTTTTTGCATTAGTTACTCGTAAATCCCGTAAGTAGGCATTGGATGTAAATGCAGATCCCCAGGAACTGTACACCATCAAGCGCTCACATTGGCTGCACTGATCCTGTTCGTCAGAAAGCAAGGGAATGCGAGAAAGTTTATTTCGTTGCAACTTGAATGCATGCTTCATCCTCTGCATCAGTGATTCCTTTTTCTTTTCGGAATCCTAAGAATACTGCTCAGAGGCGTACAAGAATTTTCAGGTTTTATAAAAGTCCATTTGCTGCTCATAAAATAATTGTTGGCGCTGTCTTGTTCAGACGGACAGTCGTGGGTTCCAAATCTCGTAATCACACATTTCTCGTTAAAGAGTTTGAAATTCATTAATAATTTGTGCATATATGTTTTCAAAAACTTCGCTTCCACACCTCTATTCTGATAACGAAGCAGGACGGTGTTCTATGAATTTGTTAAATACATTTTTTTTCCTTGGCACTACAGCCCTAGTGGGCCTAGGCCTACCTCCATGAACTTCTCCGTTCACGTCGGTTTTTCTAGATCTTACACATTCGGTAGGACTCCTTGGATGGGTGATCAGCTCGTTGCTAGGCCTCTACCTGTACACAAACACAGAAAAACGCACACACACAAACTAAATATCCATGCTCTGAATGGGATTCGAACCCACGATCCCGGTTGCCAAGCGAGCGAAAACAGTACATGCCTTAGACCGCTCGGCTACCGTGACCGGCGTTAAATACATTACTACACATAAATTATTGCTGTGTACGTATTGTGGCGTGCCGCCTAAAAGCCAGAGCATCTGAGTGAGCGTCCATTGCTAAACAACGGCTTGTTAAAACATGTTTCCGAGATAGCGCATACAGAGACGTCCATTGTCAGGCAACGGCTTAATAAGCATTGTACTCGCAACAACGAATAGCTAGAGATGAAAATCAACGTGTTGCCTAAAAATGAAAACACGTTCCCGATAGAACG